TCCTTCCTTATCAATGAAAAACACCTTTTTAAATTTTGCTTTGAGCTGGGATCCAAGGTCAGCAGCTCTTTCAACAAAAGATCTATCTCTTGTGGGCTTTCCGATGGCCAGATCTTCTTTTGTAGTGGGTCTGATTTTTGGAGCCCACTTAGCAGTTTCCATTTTAGTTTTGGTGGGTCTGTATTTGGGGACCCACCTTTCCATTTTAGTTCTGGTAGGTCTGAATTTGGGGACCCACCTTTCTGTTTCAGTTTGAATGGGTCTTCGTTTGAGGACCCACCTTTCAGTTTCATTTTTGGTAGGTCTCATCTTGGGGGCCCACCTTTCTGTTTTAGGTTTAGGAGGAGAGTAGACAGGTGCTTTGTGATTGAACGGTTGTTTCTTCAGTTTAGTTTTGAAAATCTCATCTTTAGAAAGCCGATTAAGATGTTTCCTTGAATGAACTCTAAGAGAATATTTCATATCAGGAATACAAAACGTTCCCTTAGAAGTTCCTTTCTTGGTTTCTCTTTCAGGTTTGAGCTTTCTGAAAGGCTTTGATTTAACAACATTCGCATCACAGTCATAATTATGGGGGTCTGGAACAGAATAACCATAAGCAATAGTAGAATTATTCATTGAGCCATGTTCAAAAGATGTCACCGAATTTTTCAGCTTGGGACTCAAGACTGAACTGCTAGAAGCTGAGTTTACATGGACAGACTTAGACTTAATTTTAGAGTACAAAATGGAGCTGGTTCTGGGACCAGGTTTATTCTCAAAGACTTTCTTCTTGCCAGCAGCTATTTCCTTCCTTTTTATCTCCCACTCTTCCTTCTCTTCTCCCCTTCTTTTCACTTCTTGTCCTGTGACAAAAGGAGAAGAGTGATGAGTGGCAGATTTTTCAGAAGATTTAGTTTTATCAGAAGAGGTTTGAGCAGTTTTTAAAACAGAATGATATTTTTTACTCAATTCATCAAATTTACTTAAAAGTTCTTGCCAGTTGTTTTCAGAACTTTTCTTTTCAGTTTCAAAACGCTCTCTCTCATTGTCAAGGGTTTTCTGAAGATCCGCACATTTTTGGACCAACAGAGAGATGCATTTGTCCTGTCCGGACTTAAAAATTCCAGTTTTGGGAGTGGGACCCATTGGACATTCGTAATAAGGAACCCCTTTTGGGATATTAAAAATATCAAACCCCTCCTCATTGTAGATTACTTTTTCTTTAGAAAGAGCTTTCTCAACCAGAGGAGTATAGTCAAAAGAGGTTTCAATTTTAGGATTACTCCTCTTCTCTGCTTCTTCTTTAGCGGTTTCTTCTTCACTTCCAAATTTCATTTTCTTTTCAATGTCTAGAGTTAAGTAAGTTGCATCATACAACTGGCGGCAGTCAACTTTCTTTAAATGACAAGGGTTCGGCAATCCAAGACCAGCTTTTGGGTTGTAATGCTGAACGTCGCTTATTCGATTTAGAAAAACTGTGTGTTCGGTTTGACCTCTTCTGACACACACGTCCTCAAGCTCCTTTACTTTGCTTAAAAGGCTGCTTCTTTTATTCCTTAAAAATTCACAGTCGGCTTTGGCTGTGTTTTTCTCAACTTCGCTGTCTTGCAGTTTCTTAGTCAGTTCTGCTATTTTAAGTTCAAAGCTTTCAAAGTCTGAGGACACCTTTTTGATTTGATCTTTGGCATTTTCAAGTTGAACGCTTAAGGAAGATTTTTGGTCAAGGTTCTGTTTCAGTACCCTGTAATTATTGTCTAATCTCTCCTGCAGTTCTTTAATGAGGTTGTCCTTATTGTGTAAGGGCTGAGTTTGGATAATGTGAGAGTGATTAGAGGTACTTACAGTGCTTGTAGAGCATTCACTTCCGGGGATTGCAGCATCACCCTTTTTCTCTTCTTCATCCTCCAGCCTTGCCATCAAAGCGAAGTTTTCTTCCTCTTCTTCTTCTTCTTCAGTATCATCTTCTGCCCACTGGACCAGCTCAGCATGTTTGCCAGAGGCTTCTACTTCCTCCTGTTGTGCCAAGAAGAGCTTTTGTTTATTCATCAGAATCTTCTGTTTGTAGAAGTTTGCATCTCTCTTCTTTGGAAGCCGACAATCTTTGCTGATATGTCCAGGCTTCCCGCAGTTATAGCACACAGAGGTGTTAGCAGTTGATGTAGCCTTCCTGGCTGAGCTTTGGTCCTGGTTCTTCTGTTTGTAGTTGGAGGAAGAGGTTCGTAGCTTATTTGAAGAGTTTTTCCTCTTGGCAAACTTCTTGGCAAGCAGGGCCATCTTCTTTTGGAGATCTGCAAGCTCAGCTTCAAGATCAGTTCCTTCTTCATCACTTTCATCTTCATCAGATTCAACCTCCACTATCTTCTTCTTCTTCTGCAGAGGTTTCGCAGTTCTTTTGGGCTGAGCTTCCATCAGTAGAGCCAGAGGATTTGGGTTTGATTGCTCCTCAGTGCATACAACGTCATTGACAAACTCCTTTAACAGCTCATTTAAGGTGAAGAGATCAATCTCATCCATGTCAATGCGTTGTCTTAAGTCCTTTACTGTTTTACTCCAAGATGGGTGCAGACTGGACATAAATCTAGTATTCAGTTCCAGGTTGGTTCTGAATATTTTGATTTTCCTCATTTCATTCATCAGCTTCACAAGTCTGGCATGAGTCTCGTGAAGAGGTTCTCCAGGAGCAGCCTTGAACGAGTCATAAGCCATTAGAATAGCAGATTTCTTGGTTTTTAGGCTTATGCTCGTGCCTTGGAGTAATTTTTCAATCTCATCCCACATTTCTTTTGCGGTTTGCATACTGTCAATCATCACGTACACTTCATTGGGGATGGCTTGGAGGAGGTATGTTTTGGCCATAAGGTTTCCTCTCAGCCTTAGCTTGTCTGCTTCAGTGTATTCAGACGGCCTCTTTCGTCTTGTTTCCGGAGGAATGGGTGGATTATTAGTTGAGTCCCCTCCTACGTCAATCATCAGAACAGCTGGTCCTTCCAGGAGCGATTCCAGCATTGCGTCGGAGTTTTCTTTGTGCTCTAGGAAGTTCAAGAAACGAGTTCTCCACATTTGGTACTCCCCTTTCCTCAAAGATGGAGGAGTACTGCTGTTTCCTTACGCATTGGATTCAGAAGCCATTTCTGTAGCTGTAGAAAACTGACCGTTCGAGAAATAAGATCAGAAAATTTAATAAGTCAAGAACTCGAGTTCCTGAGTATTAAAGACCTAAACTCGAGGTCTGGGGAACTCGAGGTGAGAGTTCGAGTTTATAAAATCGAGGTCAAGAGTGCGAGTTTCCAAAACTCGAGGTGTAAACTCGCAAGGTCAAAACTCGTGGTCAGACTGCGAGTTTGCAGACTGCGAGTTTGTAGACTGCGAGTTGTAGACTGCGAGTTGTAAACTGCGAGTTCTTGAGCTCGAGTTTCTAACAGCGAGTTTCTCAACTCGAGTTTGCAGCTGCGAGTTTATGTGATAACACCTGGACTGCGAATTCCTGAAAAAATAAAACTTCAGATTTTCAGAAAAACAAATATGGTAAGTTGTAGCCCTTGCTGTAGAGATTCTTTCACCCAAGTTTCAGGTCAAAAAGCTGCACAGAACTTAGAGAAACGAGGGATGCGAGTTCTTGGATGCGAGTTTATAGAGAACAAGAAAGTGCGGAAACGAAAAAAGAAGATATACTGCTTGATCGTCTTTGAAACGCGATTCAAACAGTATAACTTTTACAATATTTGGTGCAGAAATAAGATTACAGATGATAAACTCGCTATTCTACAAAAAGGGAGGAAAAACAGAGTCTTTCGCAGATAGTTCTTCTGATCAGCTCTCGATCGGCTCTGATACCATTTGTTAGTCCCCGTTTTCTATAACAGCAATATAATATGGCATACAGATGAAAGATTAACAACAAAGATGAACACAGAAAGATCAAGCGTAAACCTTCTCTGATATACCGTGAACAGTTCGTACAAGAATGATAAGCGCTAAGGCTATTTTGAGCAGATACGAAAGTTAACTGCAAACCTGAGTCCTCCGCCCTCTTTTATAGGCGAGGCTCAGGTATGCGTAAAAAGGCTTCTCGCCTAAGTATGGGCCTAACACTTGGCCCATATTGAATACTATTCTAACAGATATATTTAATCAGTGCAGAACAGAAATAGTAAACATCTAAATTATTACAGACAAAACAGACAAACTTGATTCACAATAAAATAGTCTTCAACAGGAACTTGGCATGTTCTAAGATTATCCAATTAGTATCAAAATACTAGTCGGGGAATTAATATAAATAAATGATCAAACAAATCCTAAGAGGTAGGATTGTGAATAGATATGCCTTAAGTAGTCTCAAGAGATACTTAAGGATGAATGGTATGAACACTAAGGTGTGATAGGGGTAGGCCTAAAGGCCACCTCCGGGAATTGATTCTAGGCATAGGACTTGCTTGAGAATTTGATTATTAAAATAATTAGAGTTGGACTCTAGGATGACATGGAGATGTAGTTGGGCCGAGCCCATGCCATGTAATATGATTAGCATGGAAACGTAGTTGGGCCGAGCCCTTGCCATGTATATGTGACCTCCGTGGAAACGTAGTTGAGCCGAGCCCTTGCCACGAAGTTATGGTTGGTATGGAAACGTAGTTGGGTTGAGCCCTTGCCATACAAATTTTGATATGATATATCGAGTTAGAGGATTGTATAGAGATGTAGTTGGGCCGAGCCCATGCTATACAATTGGGGCTCGACGGGACCCCACGGGGTTATCGTGACTTGCGGTCACGGGGGGATGGAAACGATGAATTCTAAACGCATATGGGCCTACGGGCCGACTACTTGACTTTATATAAAGTAAGTACACTTAAAAGAAAAAGGGGTAACCGAGGGTTATGGCCTATAATATAATAGTACCCTAAGTTGAGGGTCGGGGAAATTAAAACGTTGATTATACTTAGTATAGTTGCTATTGTACTTGTCAAATATTTCCAAGTACTGACCTCCCCTTCACGGGGGAGGCCACCTCACAGTTTCAGGTAGAACTTGAAGGTTGCTACCATCACCCGTGGCTCCGGGAAGATCAAGGGGGGAGAAGACGCGGTTCGTGCTTCTTCCGTCTGTTTTAAAACAATTACGTTAATGCTCATGGATATTACTTTTGAATAATTACTTTGGGGGCTTGTATGCCGAGTTATGCCAAGTGTGGCTTGAACAATTGTATTTATGCTTCCGTTGTTTTGAATGAATGATTTACATTATGTTTGTTTATGGATGTACTATGTGTGAATGATATTCATGACGCCTTGTATAGTATGGATGAGTCGGACTGCGGTTGACTATTCGTACTGTACGGCGGGTTGTTGACGTGTCCGGCTAGGTCCGGGGCGTGACAATTTAATTGGTATCAGAGCCTTAGTCCGTAAACATCATAATGAAGCTTCAAAATTCTTTTTGAAAATGAAATTGAAAACCATGAGCATAAAGTTTTGTACTTATAGAACTTTTGGTACTTGAGTTGCAATGTCTCTAATTGTTAAGATGGTACCCTTAGCAATTGGTATGGCGGTGACTTGAGCCAAAGGATGTCTTTAAGTACCTATCCGTCAATTGACATTTGATACGAGTCTAATGACTCATTCTCAATTTCTTTCAGAAATGGAACGTACCGGGAAAGTAACTAGAAGGAACCCGACGGGCCGAGCACCGGGAGGATCCGTGCAAGGCAGTAGGGGGGCTTCTAGGGCATCCAGAGGACAGGGCCGTGGAGGCCAAACTCAGACCGTGAGTGACGGTTATGTGGAAACAGTCAATGAGTCTTATGAGTCCGAGGAGGATTCGACGTATCAAGCGGGAACTGAGCCGGTTGAGACCCCATATGATGGGGAATATGATGATGTTAGTGAGGGGAGCGACGATGACGACGCTCTAGAAAGGATGGAGGAACTACTCCGTCAATTTCAGCAAGATCGTCAAAGGCGTCGGGCAAGGCGTGCTTTGGGAGGGGCTTCAAGAAGGGGAAGCCATGCAGGTTCTAGGGGACATGTGGAGTCCCGAGTAGATCGAGGTGTCGAGGTTCCGATAATAAGGATCTCGAAGTACCTCAAAGAAGCAAGAGATTTGGGGTGTAAACCGTTCAATGGAACGGGAGACATATCCGTAGCGGCAGAGTGGATCAAGAGGTTCAATGAAGCGGCCCTTGATATGCAGCTGCCGCCAAACATGAAGATGAGAGTAGCAACAAGGTTGCTAGAGGGGATGGCGTCCACATGGTGGGACGGTGTCAAGGGGAAGTACGGTGAGGCCGTAACTTGGGAGAATTTCCGACAGGAATTCTTCAACCAATACTACTCCGACTTCGAGGTGAACTTGAAGAGGAGAGAATACACCAACTTGACCCAAGGAGGCAAGTATACCGTGAGGCAACTGGAGCACAGGTTCAGGGAGCTCGCGGAGTTCATACCGGAGTACGCTTGTGACGAGAACCGGACGGTGAATCACTTTTGGGATGCTTTAGACTTAGACGTGCGTGAACGGGCAACACAATTGCCTAACATGACGTTTAGTCAAGTGGTGGAGCAAGGCCTGAAAGGGGAGAAGGAATGGGAAGAAAGAAAGCTGAAAAACGCCGAGGAGGCGAAGAAGAGGAAATGGGAGAACACCGGCCCCCAAGGTTCTAGCAAGAAGGGGAACCACGAGGGAGGTGGGTCTTTCAGAATGCCCGCACCACCATCCAGGGGAAACCAAGGCCCAGGAGGGCAAGGCTCGAGGTCGCAAGGCTCGGGCATTAGCAGGTGCAATAACTGCAAGAGGAACCACACGGGAAAGTGTCGCGATCCCCCTAGATGCTACCAATGCGGGGAGACGGGACACTTGAGATCAAACTGCCCACAACTTGGGCGAGTCATGGGCGCAGGACCTAGCAGCGGGACCACGGCAAGTAGGAACCGAGAAGGGGCACCTCACGCGAGCACGACGCACGGAGGGCCAAGTACAAGCAACGCGCCATCCGTGAACCAAGGCAAGACACAGGTTAGGGTCTATGCGATGACGGAGGCGGACGCACGTGCTAACCCGGACTTTGTGGCGGGTAAAATCTTAAACTCATGTTATTAACTCTATTGTATGCAATAGGAGTGTTTGGAATGTGCAAAATTTGAAACCCCGACGGTTTGGTCGGGATTGTAGGGGAAAGGGGAGGAAAAATCCCCGCCCTGGGCGAAAGCCGCCCGACATTTGACGAAAGCCGCCCGGCTTTCGTCTTGATTTACGGGGAAAATACTGCGGCGACGAATGCCGGCTGGTTTCCACCAAAAACCGCCCAGCTTTCGTCAACATTTAATCTGTAAAATCCTCGCAACCAAAAACCAGCCGGCTTTTGTAAAGACCGACCGACTTTCATAAATGCCTGACCTGGGGAAATTTCTCGCAGCTGAAAGCTGCCCGGCTTTGGCGAAAGCCGCCCGGCTTTCGTTGGGCTTGGGGATTTCTGCGCTGCTGAAACCCGGCCGGGTTTCGTAGAAACCGGCCGTCTTCGAGACCATCTCCTGAATAAAACTGCGGCGACGAAAACCGGCCGGCTTTCGTGATTTTCTTATGAGAATTTTTCTCGCAGACGGAAACCGGCCGGCTTTCGTGAAAAGCGGCCGGCTTTCACCTAGGTTAGTCCTAGAGCGGTTCTAAAGGTTAGAAACCGGGGAATTTTCGGACGGGTGTCAAACGGACCCCACCCGAACCGCAACCAACATACTCTACGACTTAAGAAACAAGTCTATTAATTAGTTAGTGTGTCTTACATCACTTATGAATGTAGGAACACTAAAGATAAACGGGAGAGACGCAAGGATCCTTATTGATACCGGGGCGCAACGATCATTTGTGAGTGAGGCGTTCGTCAGCGGATTCAACGAACCACTTGTACCAATGACTCAGACCCTATTGGTGTCCACGCCTCTAGGGGATGATATCGAGAGAGATAGCCACTATCCATCGTGTGAGGTGGAGGTGGAGGGACAGAACTTGATGTGTGATTTTGTACCGCTGAGTATGATCGAGTTTGATGCAATCCTCGGGATGGATTGGCTTGAGAAACATCATGCTAGGGTCGATTGCTACACGAAGATTCTTAAACTCGAAGGCGGTGAAGGGTTGACCTTACGCTTCGAGGGAGATAGAGGCAAATCAAACAGTTGTATCATATCCGCCGTGAGGGCGAGGAATATGATGAGAAAGGGATGCCACGCATACCTAGCGTATGTGGTGGACAAAACCAAAGAAGAGATAGACATCAATGATGTGAGAGTTGTGTGCAAGTATCCGGATGTCTTCCCAAAAGACTTGTCGGGACTTCCACCCGATAGGGAGATTGAGTTCGTGATCGAGGTTGAACCCGGCACCAAACCAATCTCTATACCGCCATACAGAATGGCACCCGCTGAACTTAACGAGTTGAAAACCCAATTGCAAGAGCTATTGGATAACGGTTTCATAAGGCCGAGTCACTCTCCGTGGGGAGCACCGGTCCTTTTCGTGAAAAAGAAAGATGGAACACTTTGAATGTGCATTGACTATCGTCAACTGAACAAGGTCACAATCAAGAATAGGTATCCCTTACCTAGGATTGATGACTTGTTTGATCAGCTCCGAGGAGCGACGGTGTTTTCGAAGATTGACTTTAGGTCGGGGTACCACCAACTGAAGATAAAGGAGGATGACATACCGAAGAGTGCATTCCGCACAAGGTATGGTCATTTCGAGTTCCTAGTTATGTCATTCGGGCTAACCAACGCCCCGGCGGCATTTATGGACTTGATGAACCGAGTATTTCATAAATACTTGGACCGGTTTGTGATTGTGTTCATAGATGATATCTTGATTTACTCAAAGAGTGAAGAAGAGCATGAGGAGCACTTGATACTTGTTCTTGAGACACTACGGGAGAAGCAACTCTATGCCAAGTTTTCCAAATGTGAATTTTGGCTAAGGGAGATTGGCTTTCTCGGGCATGTGGTTTCGGGATCAGGAATTGCCGTAGATAACAAGAAGATTGAGGCCATTACTGAATGGGAGAGGCCAAAGAACGTCAAGGAAATTCGTAGTTTCCTTGGATTGGCAGGGTACTACCGAAAATTTGTGGAAAAGTTCTCAGTTTTGGCATCACCATTGACAAAGCTCACTCGAAAAGGGGCCAAGTTTGTATGGGATGACCGATGTGAGAAGGGATTCCTTGAACTGAAGAAGAGATTGACCGAGGCACCGGTACTCGCACTACCCAAACAGGGTGTGGGGTACGATGTCTACAGCGACGCAAGCATTTAAGGGCTTGGATGTGTCTTGATGCAGAACGGGAGGGTGATTGCCTATGCTTCACGACAGTTGAAGAAGCATGAGGTAAATTATCCCACCCATGACTTAGAGCTGGGGGCGGTGGTGTTCGCATTGAAGATTTGGAGCCATTATCCATTCCTGAATGGAAATGGGAACACGTGACTATGGATTTCGTGGTAGGGCTGCCACGGACGATTAAGAACTATGACGCCGTATGGGTTGTGGTCGATAGGCTCACGAAGTGTGCACACTTTTTACCTATCAACACCACCTATGCACTGGAAAGGTTAGCCAAGTTGTATGTGGATGAGATCGTGAGGCTGCATGGGGTTCCTATAACCATTGTATCCGATAGAGATCCGCGATTCACATCACGATTTTGGCCGAAGTTCCAAGAATCTATGGGGACAAAACTGAAATTCAGTACAGCTTTTCATCCACAAACGGATGGACAATCCGAGCGGGTTATACAGATATTAGAGGATATGCTGAGAGCTTGTGCATTGGAGTTCCAAGGGAGTTGGGACAACCATTTGGCCCTCGTGGAGTTTGCCTATAACAACAGTTATCAGGCGAGTATAGGCATGCCTCCATACGAGGCATTGTATGGGAGGAGATGTCGTACACCTTTGTGTTGGGACGAGGTTGGCATGGCCAAACTCGAGAGCACGGAATTGGTGGAAATCACCAAGTCAAAGGTAAAGATGATTCGTGACAGACTCAAGGCGGCACAAGATAGACAGAAGAGCTATGCCGATAAGCGCCGAAGAGCCTTAGAGTTTAAGGTTGGAGATGAGGTATTTTTGAAAGTTTCACCTTGGAAGGGAATCATCCGATTTCAGAGCCGGGGGAAACTTAACCCACGCTACATAGGGCCATTTGTGATTCTTGAGAGAATTGGGGCCGTGGCATACCGATTACAGTTGACTCCAGAATTGGAGAAGATACATAACGTATTCCACGTGTCTATGCTTAAGAAGTATATACCGGACCCATCTCATGTACTAGAGAAACCACCCGTGGAAATACGGGAGGACCTGAACTACGCCGTGCAACCGGTAAAGATACTTGATAGGCAAGTAAAGAAGCTAAGAAGCAAGAAAGTTCCAATGGTTAAAATCCTTTGGAAGAGTGACCGAGTTGAAGAAGAAACTTGGGAGACTGAAGCCTCGATGAAGGAACAGTATGCATTTCTGTTTGAATAATCGATTGTGAATTTCGGGGACGAAATTCCCGTTAAGGGGGGTGAACTTGTAACACCGACCCCGAGCATATTTACTTTTAGTAAATTATGTAATAAACCTTGAAGAATGATTTAAGAAATTGTGTGATTGTAAATTTTTTACTATTTCTTTTACGTGAATAGTAAATTGCATGTGGGGCCCACAGCAGGAACGGGGACCGCTCGATAATTCCCGAACCACATATTATATTCATCTTGGTCTAGATGACACCTACATAGAGGTGGATATTTTATTTGGGCCATAAGGAAGGCATAGAGTTGACGGGTCGGTCAAACGGGGCCCAATTACCGGTATTGGTAATTTTGCGGATAACAGCCCGAAATGAGTTTCGGAGACTCCTAAATTAATGTTG